TCAGAGGAGTCTAGCAGAGTCTGTGGCCTCTGCATTGTTCCCTAGCATTGTTTCTCCTTGATACTACATTATATAGCTGTACGAGGTCTATCCCTGCTATCCGAATGTTAAGTTTTACAAGGTAAAGACTTTGTAGACTTCTGTATAAGAACACTGTCTGGTAAATATAATAGTTGCTCAGTAAATATTTGTTGGACTTTATCAATTGTCAGGGCTTGAGCTTCGTCCTTTTCTCACCACTGAAGAACTGAGGTTTGGGCAAGAGACAGCTCCCAGCCCAGCCCGTCACTTGTTCCCCTACTCAAGGTTCTAGACCAAGGTCGACAAACTTTTTCTATTAAGGGCCAAATAGTCATTTCTGGCTCTGAAGGCCAGACTGTGTCACATCACATGTACTCAACTCTGGCATCAAAGCACAAAGCAGCTAGAGTGAATACACAATGGGCTGTGGGTGGTGTTTCAATAAAACTTTATTGGAAAAATAGGAAATGGAACGATTGCCCATAGTTTGCCAGTCCCTGCCCTAGACGCCTCCGAGTTGTAAATTCTCCGCCTTTCCCCCAAATCTCCTTGGACAGAAAGGAAACATTCAGAAGTACTTGGCAGAGCAGTAGCGTGAATTTCTTTCCAGAAGTGGGAAAGCTCCTGAGCAGCTGTGACTGTGTCAACCAAACAATGCACTTCCTCTCTCTTCTGGAGAAAGTGAAGCCGTGCTGACTTTCTATGCTGACATTCTCCTTGGTCCAAGGTCCAAAAAGCAGAGCTGCACAACGCACTGAGTTCCTACTCAGCACAGGCTTTTCCATTCTTACGACTTAAAAAAAGGGGGGAGGGTGACTCTGTTTTTCTCTTTCTTGAGTCCTCTTACAACATACTAGAAGGGGATTAAATATAACATTATTCATTATTCATTCAGCACTCATACCAGGTTCGATGAAAAGACATGGAATTAAAATTGGGCTCTGGGCCTCCCTGGTGGTTCAGGGGTTAATGTCTCAGCGCTGTCAGCCATCACCAGCAACTGCAACGGTTCCATCCCCAGCCAGGGAGTGACCAGCTTGGTGCTGCAGACCTTGCCTGTGTTTCAGTCAGTCTGCCTGCTCTGCTCCCACACCTCTGGCCTATACCCCGGCTCTTGTGTGCATATGTAAATCTAAATCTTTAAAATAAGTAAATAAAATCGGGCTCTGCTGCTTAATAGCCCTGAGACCTCCTTTCCAGAGTTGACGTGATGATTCAATTAAACCATCATGAGGTTCAGCAGCAGCAGGGTCCTCATAGCTGCTAATACTTACTGTGTTGGAGTGAAATGCAGTCTAAATATTCTCTGGACCCTCACAACACCTATAGGAACATTACTATGACTAAGCCCATTTTACAGAGGAGGAGACTGAGTCAAAAGAATTTAACTTACAGTCACACAGTGAGTCAGTCACATTCAAAGCCAAGTTGTCTGATCCCAGAACTCATAGTGGTTCCAATCTCTGCCTTCCCAGTGCTTAGCAAAGGAAGGCGCTAATCAGCCAGTACTGGCTCCACCGGCAGGTATTGTGGGTGACCGAAGAGCAATTTGGGATGAAGGCAGGTAATTGTGTGTCCAGCTGAGTTACATTAGTTCTGTCAACTCCGTTAACTCCATCGCTCAGGGCCTCATCATGTTTGCTTTCCTCCCGCCCCCCATTCTTCCAGAGCCTGCTGATTGCGCATGTGCAATAAGTAGCTGCTGGCCGCTGCTGTCAGGGGTGAAGCTCTGCTGTCTGCCTTTCTCTCTTGCTTCGCCAGCCAACTCCCAACTCCTCTTTGTTGGCACAGGGGTTAAGTTCCAACACTATGATGCTTTTGGCAGCCACTGCAGCACAAGTTCGATCCCCGGCCAGGGAGCTGACCCGCAGGGCGCGGCACAGCTCTCCTGTCTCCCCACTGCTCCCCTCAGCAGTGTAATTCGTAGATATGCCTGTTCTGCTCCCCATTCTGTCTCTGGTGACTCCTATCACCACCTCTGCAACTCTGGCCTGTACCCCAGTACTGTTTGCATAAATCAATAAATCTTTAAAAACAAAAGTTACTTTAGTAACATTAGACTGGGGGAAATGGGAAACTATGCAGAGAAAATTTGACAGATTTAACTACAGAAGAGTAACAGTTTCTCAATAGGAAAAAATATCATAAGCAAAAATGAAAGGTCAGTCAATACTGAGCAGAAAAAAAACAAAAAACAGCAACAGAGTTGAAGTCTGAGGATCAAAGAACTGCAGCCAAGCAGGAAGAGGCAGGCAGGCCCCCTGGTGGCACAGGGTGTACGCCATAGCATGTGAGGCTGTCTGCAACCCCTGCAGCAGGAGTTTGAGCCCCACCCAGGGAGTGACCCCCAGGGCGCAGCAGACGGATCCTCTCTCCCCGCTGCTCTCCTCAGCAGAACTGCCTGTTCTGCTCCCCATTCTGATGAATTCTCTCCCTCCCACACACATCTGGCCTACACCCTAGCTCTAACATGCATAAATAAATAAATCTTTTTTAATGTGTGTGAGAGAGAGAGACAAGCAGCCAGGGACATTTCAGCTGCATTAGTGATCAGAGAAGTACAGTTTCAAACAATTCGGTACTATTTTTCACCATTTGAATTGGCAAGTTAATTTCTGTGACTATGACCAGCGTGACAGGAGTGTAAATCAGCCCACCGTTTTGGAAAGCCAAGTGGCCAGACCAAGTTGTAAATATTCATGTCCCTCGGCCCTGCACTCCTCTCTGAGGGCTTCTGTACTGAAGTCCCCACAGCACCCTTGGGCGTTTGGTGTAATATGTGTGAGAGCAAAGACAGCAGTCCATCTAATGGGGTTGGGGTTGAAGTGGGGGGGGGGTGTAGCATTTTTTCGAATACAATGTGGCTATGGAGAAGAGTGGGTCTGTGTGTAATGACATGGAAATGTCTCTTTGATACATTGTTGAGTTAAGGGAAAGCAAGTTTCAGAACAATTAGCATCGCCTGAGCCTATTTACTTTTCCTGTGTGCTGGCAGGGGCCACCTGGGAGGGCAGGGACCACCTGGGAGGAATCACGAGCTCTTGATGGTGGGGCAGGTGAACAGCAGGTCTTTGTACACACTCGGCTTTGCTGCCTTGTTATTACGGTAGTTGGTTTTTAGAACATTCTGTGCTTTTCTCCATCTCCGCTGTAATCCCCATGGGCTTCCCATCACCAGTTCACCATAGTCCCGTGTACTCCCCCCGTTTTTGATCCCATTCCCCACTCCACCCCCACAAAATGTCTCTGGTATATGGTTGTTCATTATTTTTGTTATTTTCTCACCTGGTCCATATATTCCTGCTATGAGTGAAACCATCCGGTATTTTTCTTTCTCTTTCTGGCTTATCTCACTAAGCATGATCTTTTCCAGCTCCATCCATGTTGCTGCAAAAGACATGTGTTTCTCTTTTTTGGTTGCTGAGTAATATTCCATTGTATATATGTACCACATCTTAATCCAGTCATCTACTTTTGGGCATTTGGGCTGCGTCCATGTTTTTCCAATTGTAAATAAAGCAGCAATAAACATGGGGGTGCAGGTATCTTTTTCAATCAGTGTTTTTGTGTCTTTTGGATAGATACCTAGGAGTGGGATTGCTAAGTCGTAGGGAAGCTCCATGTTTAGCAGTTTGAGGAACCTCCAAACAGTTTTCCATAGCGGTTGTACTAGTTTGCATTCCCACCAGCAGTGCAGGAGAGTTCCTTTTCTCCACATTTTAGGATACTCTTTTAAGGGCATCTTGATTTGAGAAAGGGGTCTGGTTCTACCCATGGCTCCCTCACTTAGCTAAAATCATAGTAGAGGACTCTAATCTATTGACTTTAGACACCTGCCTTGTTTAAAAATAAGTAAATAAAATTGTTATGGCCGGTGTGGAGAGACTTATAATCTAGAAAATGAAAGGCTTGCTTTTTTTTTTTTTAAGATTTATTTATGCATATAGAACTGGGGTACAGGCCAGAGGTGCAGGGGGTGAGAGGATTCACCAGAGACAGAGTGAGGAGAAGAACAGGCTGACTGACAAAGTCCACTGCTGAGGGGAGCAGCGGGCGGGTCAGGAGAGGTCTGCCGCGCCCTGTGGGTCACCTCTGGGGCGGGGCTCGAACTCATGCTGCAGTGGCTTTAGCTTCTCAGTGCTGTGCTTTAACCCGCTGCACCACCAGGGAGGGCCAGGAAAGCTTGCTTCTTTAATAAAGGAGACTGGCTTGAGAGAGGTCCTTCCAGCGTCCCACATGGAAGATACTCATCTCAGTCTCTCGGGTTTTGAAGCTCGCCCGGCGGCTGGGCTCAGCTCTGCGGCAGGCAGGATGCGCTCAGCCACGGGGGGGGGCCGTGGCCCTTCTCACAGGCCCGCTGCTCTTTTGGTCCGGACCCTGTCCGGGGCTCTGTTCTGCCTGCCTCCCTGGGGGGAGGGCAGCCCGCAGCCCTGAGGTCACCCTGGCCTGCCGGACCTCTGGGCTTCCTCAGTGCACCGAGTGGCGGAGCTGGCCCAGCCGCCCAGCCACACGCCTTGCTCCGTGCTGCAGATCCTCACGCCTGCTGCCCAAGACTGACCCGTCCAGCCTGGGAACTGCGTCCTTGGTCTCGGGCTGGACCTGACCCACCCCTGCCCACGTCAGCTCTGGCCCCCTGGCTGCCGGAACAGGCGCAGCTCCAAGCAGGGTCACGTCTGCACAGCCCGGGGATGGGGGCGCACACTCTGGGTCTAGGGTTCATCGTGTGTCTCACCCTGGTGCCAGCCAGCATCAGGCGGTCATCACACCCAGCTCTTGCACACCATGTGGGGGCTGGGCTCTGAGAACACAGGTCTTGGGGACTCTTACCCGGGCCTCTGCCCCGGAACTCCACATCGGAACGAGGCGCTGCCATGGACAGCGCGAGCTGCACTTCCCGGGACGTCTTGTGACTGGTTTTCTTAGTGACCTCTTGATCTCAGAACTGCTGTAACCCTTCCCTTTATCCACTTCCCTTTCAGTTGCAGAGTTACTTTGCTGCCTGTGAGGATGAGACGCCTGCCATCCGGAACCACGACAAGGTCCTGCAGCGTCTGTGTGAGCACCTGGACCACGCCCTGCTCTACGGGTGAGGGCACACGGTTTCCGGGCAGGCTCAGGGCGCCCAGGGCGTGGCCGAGCCCCCAGGGAGACGCCTCTACCCTTGCCTGCATTCAGTTTCTTCTCTCCCCTGGCAGAGAGAGGTTTGTCTCCCTCAAGGGGGCCGCAGCCGATCTCTAGTTAGCCTGCAAACATAAAAGCGGGAAGAGGCGGCGCATAGACCAAAGCTCCAGTGGCTGCCTGTGGGTGCCCAGGGCATTCCGCAGCCTTGACCTCACTTGACCCACGAAGCCAGTAGACCAGCTGACTGCAGCTTCCCAGGGTGGCCCCCTTAGGTCACAGCACCTGCTGTCCCATTTTCTTAGGCTGCAAGACCTGTCTTCCGGCTACTGGGTGCTCGTGGTGCATTTCACCCGGAAGGAGGCCATCAGGCAGATCGAGGTGCTGCAGCATGTGGCCACCAACCTGGGGCGCAGTGAGTAGCAGCAGGTCGGCGCTGGGAAAGGCCGGCACCCCTCTCCCTGCGGGCAGCCCGGGGCACAGGTGTAGCTTCAAGGTCAGCTCCAGGGAGGCTGATGACCCTGGGGCTTGACCCTTTGGTGTCCACAGCCAGAGGGTTAAAATGCCAGCACCCTCGGCAAGGCCTCTGTTCTCCCTGCACATGAGTTTTGTGGAGCCTCCTTGCTGGGGTGAAGGGAACCGAGATGCGGGGGGGGAGGGGGACAAGACTCCCCTCGTGGCCGGCCAAACCCCAGTCTTGCTTCTCTTCCCAAGCTGGGGTCAGGCTTTGCCTGCGGAGCAGCACAGAATCCTGGCATTTCTCAACCCAGCTGGAGCTGGCAGTCCGCCCTCTTTCTTGGAGTTTCCTGGTGACTGCAGGCCAGGGTCTGATGGGGACAGAGGTTTCAGGGCTGTGGCTCTGACCCGAGAGGAGGCTGGAGTGCCACTTGCTCCTTCCGTTCTGCCCTTGCTGGGCCTGAACACTGCCACACCAACAGAACTGCCTTCCAGTTACTCCGGCCCTTTGCTTGCAGGCCGGGCCTGGCTGTACCTGGCCCTCAATGAGAACTCCCTGGAGAGCTACCTGCGACTGTTTCAGGAGAACCTGAGTCTGCTTCACAAGTACTATGTCAAGTGAGTGTCCCTGTGGTGTCTCACAGGACCCCAGAGCCCCTCTGGCCTGTGCCTGTGCCTCTGGTCCCGTGTGGCGCCCCCGGAGGCCCGGCCTGGCATTGCGTGCTGGGGACGCCTCCGTGATGAGCAGTTGCCTGGCCCCATCTCAATGGGGTTGGGGCCGCAGGGGGAGAGCGTAGGGCACAGGCTCTGTTAGGCTGTTTGGTGCTCTGCCTCCTCCTCCTCCACCCAGAATGTTCGACCTTTTTAAGGGCTGCTGCAGGGACAGAGTATTTATAGCAGCCGCTGAGAGCCAGAGGAGTCTGCAGGCCCCTGTCTGGAGTCAAGTGCAGTATGGCTGTGGACCCAGAGGGAGCACGCCAGAGAAGGAGGTGAAGCCACCTCCAGCTGGGTGCCCTCCAGGGAGTGGGGGTGACGCAGGTCAAATTTCAGTGCCGCTGGCTTGGTGATAAGGGAGGGCAGAGCCGGTAACCAGACTTAGGCCCACACCCTCCCTCCCCCGTGTCACAGGAACGCCCTGGTCTGCAGCCATGACCACCTGACCCTCTTCCTGACCTTGGTGTCTGGCCTGGAGTTCATTCGCTTCGACCTGGACCTGGTGAGACGCCACAGCTCGTGCTCTGTGGGGACACAGGGGTGGGCAGTGTCACTGGTGGGCCGCCGCTGAGTGTGACTCTCTGGTTGCCCGTCGGTCACACTCAGGGTCTGAACCTTGAGTCAGCAGGTGCGGTTGATTCTCTCTTGGTCTATTTAAAGCCGGGACTCCTGGGACAGGAGAGCTGTTCCCACCTCGTCCCCACGTGGACACGGCCCCAGCCCGGAGTCTGTTAGCACCGGTGTCCTGAGCCTTCGTGCTCAGGACGTGATGCTTAGCAAGGACAAGGCCTCCCGGGCCCGTGGCAGCGTCCCCAGCACCAAGCGGCCCCCACATCCAGCACTGTGGACAGGGGGTGCAGCCCAGAAGGGGTGGGCGAGGCGGGGGCATGGAGGCTTGGGCTCATGGAGGTGGTTGCAGCTGCCCTGTCCCAGTCAGTCGCCCCTTGGTGCCCATCAGCAAAAACTGCAAAAGGGATTTGGCCCCGGAGAAGGAGTAGAAGTTGAAGAAAATGAGCGGCTCTGATCTAACGTGGCCGAGGGGCTCGGCAGGCTCACCGGGGCCATCGTCTCTGGCCGCCAGGGCCGCCGCTGTCCGCATGCCTCTTTGCAGCCGCTTACTTCTGAGCCCCCCGGAGCTGGCCCGAGGCCCGGGCAGGCAGCAGCGGGCGTCTGGGGGCCCCCGGGCCGCGGTTAGCACCCTCTCCTCCGCAGGATGCCCCTTACTTAGACCTGGCCCCCTACATGCCCGACTACTACAAGCCTCAGTACCTGCTGGACTTTGAGGACCGCCTCCCCAGCTCAGTCCAGGGCTCGGACAGCCTGTCGCTCAACTCCTTCAACTCAGTCACCTCCACCAACCTGGAGTGGGATGACAGTGCCATTGCCCCCTCCAGCGAGGGTAAGTGCCGGGGCAGGCAGGCGCCACCCCTGCCGACGGGCCCGGGCACGTGCCGGCAGGTGGCGTCTTCCTGACACCCGGGCCGGTGGCTGAAACTTGAGCTTGAGCAGGACCAGCCACTGCCCAGATCTTCGCGACTTCAGGTCCCTCTGTGTCTAAAATATCGATTCTGGGGGTGAAAAGGCCAAAATGGGACTTTAACCCTTTGTCCTGGGACAGTTTCCTGAGCGAGGGGGGCGAACAGTGTCACCAGAGACTCGAGTGTGGCCGCTATGGGGAAGGTTGTCCTGCCTGGACTCTGGGCAGAAAGAAGCTAAGCCCCCGGGAGGGAGGAGGAGCCAGAGGGTCCAGTGCAGGGGACACTTGCCAGGTCTCTCATGTGTCCATTCGGGCCCTCACCGTGGGTCGGGTGTTCGCAGCGCCCCGACACATCGCATCCGGACGGCCTGGTTTCCTCCAGTTGACCACGCGGCTGTCTCCCCGCCTTCAGCCCGCGCGGGACACCCACGCTCTTGCTTTACCTCGCCCCATCTCACCTCCAGGGAGAGGGGTTCAGTCACACGCAGCCTCTGGGGCTCCCCGAAATTGCCTCAGCGTTGACACTGACCTTTATTTCTGCTCCTGCCGTGGCCCCAGGCCCCGGGGCAGTGGCTTGGGGCTCGCTGTTCGCCAGCTCCCGGGCTCGTCTGGGTGGAGGCGCTGCCTCAGCCTCCTTCGTTGGGCGCGAGGGCCGCCGCCCGGGGAGTGGGGGGGGGCTGCCGCCTGTGGGAGCAGCCTGCCCGCAGACGGAGGTGTCCCCCAGAGCCCTCACGCGAGCCCCCAGGCTGCAGGGGAAGAAGCTAGGATAGAAAAGGAGGTCCCGAGCGAGGGAACCCAGCCTTCTCTCAGACCCAGATTCTGGCGCTGGGAAACAGCGCCCCAGGGGGTCTTCCCGCTGGCTGGCGCCCCGGGGCCAGTGCCCTGCTGTCCGGGGCCCCTGAGGCTGTCCCCCCTCGCCCGTGTCGCCTGCCCTGTGCCCCATCCCCTGCCCTCCCACTGCCTGTGTTTCTAATCTTCAGTTTTGTCCCTCATTTTTATAGATTATGATTTTGGAGATGTGTTTCCAGCAGTGCCGTCTGTACCCAGCACAGACTGGGAAGGTGGGACAGAGTCCGCTGTTACTCTCTTTTCCTGTTTTGCAACGTTTCCATGCCAAGCTTGCTGCATGATCCAAAATCAGCCCATTATCTCTAATAATGTCAATGATCACAGTTCAGCCGAGTTCAGTGTTCTAACAGATGGAATTCTGCAGTAGGAGAACTGGGCCTGCAGCCGCAGGCAGGCCCCCCCCAGGCCAGGGCTCTGCCTTTACTCAGTGGTGCCATGGAGTCACCGACTCGTCCCCAGGGACCCACGTCCACCCTTCCCGGCTCCGAGGCCAGTCAGGGCACCCGCGTGCCGGGGGAGCTGCCAGCTCGTGGGGCGCCAGGGTTCCCAGGGAGCAGGACTTGTTCTGGAAAGCAATGCCTTGGACACGAGACTGGGCGCTCTGGGCGGAAACGCGCCTGCAGAAGCACAGAGACGCAGAGGCGGCCCGGGCTCTCCTGGGCCTTCTCTCGGTTCTGACGAGAGTGCAGAGGGTGCTCGCCAGGCACAGCTGAAACTTCCTGCAGGGAGATTCTGTGAGGTCTCAGGCAGAGGGACGTGAGATCGGGCACCCCTTCCGCCTTCCGCAGGCCGCAGCCGTGCTTTGGCACTTCCCTGCCCTGCCCCTGCTTGTGAAGCTCCTGGCCCACGATGCTGCCACACTCAGAACTCGGATCCCTCTGGGAAGGTCACGCCTCCTCCTTAAATCCGAGGCTTTGACCCGAACCCCCTTACTGGAGCCCCTTACTGGAGCGCTTCTTCCCCTTGTATGCGCTGCCCTGTGGGGGTGTGGACCCAGCCGCCAAGGAGCCAAGGAGCCTGCTGGGTGGCAGGCGTGGCAGGCGAGCTCCCCGCAGGTGATGTGAGCATGAGCTAGCTAGGCCCGGAGAGGGAGCTGTCACGGGCCGAGAGGCGCGTAAGGAGACCCAGGCTTCAGCTCAGGTGCAGCGGGGCTTCAACCCCGGGCTTCAACCCAGAATTCCATCCCAGCCGCTGGTCCTGTGCCGCTCCCCTTGCCACACAGCTGGCCTTAATCCGCCTCTGGTCCTAACCACTAACCCTCCCGGCCCAGCTACGCTGCCTGACGCAGTCACTGGACAAGCTGGGCCTGACCCAGCTCTGCAGACCGTCGGGGTAACTAACTGCTTGCTCGGGCCCCGGACAGGGGAGGCTTCTCCCAGCAGTGACCTGCTTTCCTGGTTCCTCCGAACGCCAGCCCTCCCGAGTACCTGCTGACAGACATCCGGGGATGTCTTTGTCTTCTAAGAGCTGCCAGAAAGCAGGATTTGAGGCAACTCCACACTCCACACTGGTGGGGCCTCGGGACTCCTCCCAGGGGCCGGATGGGAGCCCCTTTGAGACGAGGGCCGGTTCTCTGCCCCTGACAACTAACTTATCTCTGAGGGGCTTCCGCAGCCAGCCTCGCCTTGCTGCTGCTTCCTGGCGAGCTGGTAGTGGCTTCTAGCCCTCCTTTGTCCTTATGTTCAAAGATGGATCTTTAAAAGCTCCGTCAGCAGGCAGCTGCCGTGGTTTCCAGGATCCGCTAAGAAGTGGGCAATAGGCCGGGCCCCCGCCTCGGGCGGAGGGCAGAAAGCACGCTTGCCGCCTCGTCTCTGGGCGGCAGTGGCAGGCAGGATGTGTGCAGGCCGGCGAATGGGGCTTGAACACTGCGTGCTCGCCACCAGCCCTCCGGCGCCCGCCCGACAGCGGGCCTCCTCCCCGCCGGGGCCGGCCCCGTCTGCCCCCGCCAGTCCCTGTGTGCTTCATATCGCCGCTCCCTCCTCTTGGGGGTCTGTGCCAGGGACCCGGGGGCGCGGGGTTGCGGGCAGCAGTTGAACCTGCCCCTCTGGAAGGCGGCATCTCCCCCCGACCCCAGTGGAGCCCTGGTTGGGCACGGACAAGACAGGCGAACAGAATAAACTTGAGCTCCGCGCCCCTTTCAAGGGCGACCTGGGAGTGTCCTGGGGTGTCAGGGGGAGGAGCTGCTAGAGGCATCAGGGGGCAGCCACTCCACGCCTTTCTTGCCCTCCAACCTCACCCCCTCCGCCTTCCCAGGCTTCCCACCCGTGGTGCCCCCAACCTCTCCTCAGCCTCTGGCTCTGTTCTGCACCTCTCCCTCTCTCTGACCTTGTTTTCCTATTTCTCTTTGTCTGCCCCTGTGGGGAAACACCTCAGAGGATCTGGGTCTCTGAGCCTGGCCAGGGCCCTGTGGTGCCAGGACCGCCTCACCCCCTCCTCCCACCCCGCAGGGTCCTAGCTTCTCGGGGCGGCGGCCTCCTCTGGCCCCACAGGCCATTCCTGGTGCCCGTCCGGAGGCCGCCTGCCCTTGGGCCTCGTCCCTCAAATTCAGTCGCGTTGCGTGCGCTCTGGGGCTCTCAGCAGTGCTGGTGACGAGCACCCCTCCAGTTTGCTTGTGGGGCGCCTCCCACATCCTGTTGGATTGGGGCCTCTCCTCTCGAAGCAGCCGCCCTGATCAGACATCCCTGGGAAGCGCTCACCCCCCCTTCCTGAGATAAGGCGTCCTTCCGGCCCGGGTGTCTGATAGGCGGTCCCGCTTCCTGCCCCCCCAGATGGAGACTTCACGGACACTGTCAGTGGCCCCCGCTCCACAGCCTCAGACCTGGCCAGCGGCAAGGCTCCCACCAAGAGCCCCACCCCGCGCCACAACCCCTTCAACGAGGGCCAGGCAGAGGCCGTGTCCTCCTCTGACACCACCCCCGTGCACGCCACCTCGCCGGAGAAGGGGGAGGCCCGAGCCCCGGACCTGCCGGACGCCTGCACAGAGCTTGAAGTCATCAGGTCCGCGGGGAGGGGCCCCAGGGCGGCTGGGCGAGCATCCGGTCCCGTCCACCACTGGCATCAGTTTTCAGGCTGGGGCCCCCCAAGGGCAGGGAGCATCTCCCTGGAAACCAAGCCCCCAGCCCCCGCTTGGCATTTCTTTGAGCAAGAGGAAGCAGCAAGAGAACAGTGGCACAGGCGGGCAGTGCCAGGCTTCTGGGCCCTGCCAGGCCGCGCCGCACTGGCCTGGGCCCCAGGGCCAGGAACGCTTCCCAAGTGGTTCTTGGATGGCAGCGCGCAGCCCCCGAGAGCAAGAACGAACTAGCGCTACTGGAGCATGAGTCACCGTAGGGACGGGGCTCCGTCTGTGGGCAGAGGCGGAGGGAAGCAGGAGGTGAAACAGGCTGGGGCAAGTTGGGAATCCTGGCCCAGCGCCTCCTTGGCCCGCTAGAGCCCCCGGCTCCTGCCCCAGAGACTCAGCCTGCCCAGGAGGCGAAGCGCTGGGGGGGTGCCTGGCAGACCCCCAAGGGCTTGCTGGTCTGGGGTGGGGGACCCCCCTGTGACTGGCGTCAGCAGTCCCACTCCCACAGCCGCTGAGAGTCCTGAAGGGCTTGAGGGGTTCAGCCCCTGGCCCACAGCGGCTGACTAGGCACCGGGCAGTAGGAGCCTGAGTCCAAAAAGCTTTGCGTATATTTCTGGTTAAATTACCCATGAGGATGCTTCATGGGGAGTGTGGTCAGCCCAGGGTCCGTGTCCCACACGTGAAGAGGGGGGCTGATACGGGGCTGCTGGTCTCACCGGCCCTGGCGTCGGGCTCTCTGCTGCTGCCCGTGGTACCTCTTTGTGCCGATCCCCTGCTCTGCCAGCACTGGGGACCCCTCGGGGCTGCCGTTGCATCCAGAGCAGGGCCTCTCCCCCGCACGTCCCAGGACCACTGAAGCTTGGGCTGTGCCCTCAGAGGGCCTCGGCAGGGCCCCTCGCTGAGTCAGCCCGCTGGTTTCCCCCAGCACTGTGCGCTCAGGTGTTTACTCTCCCACTACTGTCCAGGGTCACCAAGAAGAAGAAAGCTGGCAAGAAGAAGAAGGCCAGATCGGACGAGGAAGCCAGTCCCCTTCACCCATCCTCCACCCAACACTCCTGTGCCAAGCAGGTGGACGGAAACAGACTTGTCAGCAGCCCAGGCCATGGGCAGGGCTCCCCAGACACCACCTCTGCGTCCCCCCAGGAGGAGGGAGAGGAGCCCAGCAGCACCGCGGAGAGCAGCGAGCGTTCTGAGCCCAGCCTGCTTATCCCCGAAATGAAGGACACTTCCATGGAGCGCTTGGGGCAGCCCCTGAGTAAGGTCATCGACCAGCTCAACGGGCAGCTGGACCCCAGCACGTGGTGCTCCCACGTCGAGCCCCCAGACCAGTCCTTTCGGACCGGCTCTCCCGGGGATGCCCCGGAGAAGCCGCCAGTTAGCGACTTTAGTGAGGGGCTTCCAGCCCCAATGGACTTCTACCGCTTTACCGTCGAGAGTCCAAGCACTGTTACATCAGGTGGCAGCGACCATGACCCTGCAGGGCCTGGCCAACCGCCGCATGTTCCTGGTAGCCCTGCGGCTGCTGGCCAGGAAGAAGAGGGAGCAGCAGGAGGAGCGGGGGGCCAGGCACCTCGGCCCTTAGCAGACACCCTCGGGGAGGCCCAAGAGCCAGAGAGCCAGGAGGAGGAGGCCCCGTTGCCCCCGGCTGGTGAGGGGCCCATGCCTGACCCAGAGCCTAGGACCCAGGAGGCTCTTTGTCCACTCAAGAGAGACCAGCCCAGTCCCTGTCTGAGCAGTGCCGAGGACTCTGGGGTGGACGAGGGGCAGGGGAGCCCTTCTGAGATGACCCACTCAGCAGAATTCAGGTGAGCGAGACTTTCTGTGTAACAGCTGTTAAGACACACTTCTGTCCCTGAAATGGGACACTGAGCTTTGATCCTCCAAATAAACTAAGCTCAGGTCCCACGAAACCTGGGAGGTAAGAAGCGGTGTGCTCCTCCCTTCCCTCACTTTGGCTCCTGGTGTAGCTACAGCCACTGCAACTGGGTCGCCTCTATATGCATTTGACCGCTCTGTGACTGTATTACCGCTTAGTGTCTGCGTCACCTCTCTGTGCCTATACCTCCCTCCCTGTACCTGTACCTCCCTCCCTGTGCCTGTGTCACCTCTCTGTGCCTGTAGCTCCCTCCCT